CAGCAGCTGTGTGCTTGTGATGCCATAGCAGCAGGGACTGCTGAGGCCACCTTTTCCCCGGTAGCCCAGAATTTATAATTTATTGCCATTTCCTACCCTGGGCCTGGGCATTCCATTATATTTAGAAGCTACAGACGCCATATGAAAGTGTACGAAGAGTTGCACTAATGACACGAAAGGAAATCTATCGGGTATTGGTACGGCAATTCTCGACTCCCGATTCAGCTGGGACATTTCTTGGATAGCACTCCCAAAATACGTAATAAATCTCTCATTTACCCTTCTACACAACACAACTGGAAACCTTTTTCTTGCTGCAACGCTAGAGAATAGATTTGTCATTTTGAATTGACAAAGGCAAATGGTAAAAAACCCAACCAAACAAAAAACCCCTTACATAGTGAAACTAGCCCTATTCCAGCCTCAGCTTTTCCAGCGTTAGTCCAGAGCCACTTCAGTTCCCTGCGATGACTCCTGTGTTAACTATAATAAAATGTCACCACCTGGGCTTATATGCAGTTTTTTTAACGTTTGATGAAGTCTGAGGATTTCACATACCGAAACGCCTCTGAGTCTGGGTAACCAACCATCGCCACAGTAATGCTGGAGTGGGCAGGGGGCCAGCGGGCGTCTGTACAAATGCAGGTACGTAATAATTTGTCTGGAATCTATCCCGCTAGTTTTACATTTAACCACCCATTTTTACCCCTGTATTCTAGGTATTCTTCCCTAACTGGCATTTCCATGGAGAGAGACCACATGAAGGATCTCAGAAGATACCTGGTGCTTAAATATATCCAATACCTCGTCCTGTCTTCTTCAAATGCTGTCAGCACTTTTCTGGGCCTGCTGGGCAGTTCGTACGCCATAATCATCCTGCAGTCCGCAAAGGTTTCGTCCAAGTCCACCGCGGTTCTCATCTCAAGCCTGGCGAAGGCAGACATCCTGGTTTGCATCACGGTTGTTTCCGCGATGGTTCTATGGGCCTTTGATGCGAGGGTCTCACCTCCGGCGCTCGCACCAGCTCTGCTGCAGAACCTCCTCACTGCAAACGCACACGTCAGCTGTTTGCTGCTGAGCTGCGTGGCCTGCGAGGCGTACTTGATAACCTTCTTCCCCACAGAGTCTCGCCACTTACGGACGGTGAGAAACGCCAGACTGACATCCAGGATCATCTGGATGCTGGTGACTGCAGAGTGCGCCCTGTTCCAGACTGACGACCTCCTGAAGGCCACCGGCACTTCTGCTCCCACCCGCAGCCCTTGCGCTTTGTTGTCTCATTTCTCCAGCACGGCCTCGGCCCTTCTCAGGTCCCTCAGTTACTTCCTGGGCATTATTTTAAGGATCGTTAATGTATACATCTACTACAAAATATTTTTTAGCATGTCTAACAGATCGACACTAAAAACAAAGTAGTGCGTCCTCCCCAGGGGAGGCAGCGCTGTGACACCAAACAGAAGACGCTTCAAGACAATTTCAAACTGCTGGTTTGAGAACTGTTCAATAACCAGGGCCAAGGCTCATGTTTCGGCTCACGACTGAGTTTAAACCTTCCTGTCTTCTGGTGGTATTTAGCCTTGGTTACTGGGAGGAACTTGGGGCTGAGGAGCCCCTTGGCACAAAGCTGGGCTGTGGGTACTCGAGTTGACAGCCTTAGGGCCACGTGGGTTTGCTTTGACTGTTTGCAATCTGGAGTTTATTCACTGTACCAGTGAAACAAATGACATTTCATGAACAGTTGTAAGAACTAAGGCAACCCGAATATTTTTTATATGAAAAGGATGTTTAGAGACTAACTCAGGGATCCGTTGAGCCAAGAGCTTTACAGTTGTATACTAAAGATATGATCTATATCGCAAAATCTGTCTAACCCAGGTGACCCACCAGACTCAGCAGGTAGGATCGAGAGACAACGTGAGCCTCAAGCTGACCTAGCCTAGCTGGGCTTGTCCTGTGGGTGGCATCAGCCCCACCACGAGAGTGCCCAGGACAAATCAGGGCTGAGCTGTCACACCTCAGCGTATACCTGGCGCTATTCTTGGGTCCTTGCTACAACTAAAGCAGTGAACAGCTTCTCTCACATCCCCCTTCAGAAATAAACAGGAGGTGAAAAGCCAGAACGCAGTTGCTTGCCGCAGCCCTACAAGGCAGGGATAGAGCTTGAGAAAACCTCTGTGTTGAGGGCTCCATATGCTGTACCCAGAGGGACCAGCAGTGATTTCAGTGGCCGTGGTTTTGGAGGCAGGGAGGGGTGTGCGGGGCTTAGCAGTGCTGTTCCAGCTCCGTTGGCAGGGGTGCAGAAGACCAGGGCCATGAATGTCCCTTGACCGCGTTGGGGCTTGGGTAGTTGGGGCTTGGGTAGATGTAGAAGAGCTGTTACCCAGCTGGTGCTTCCTGGGGTCTCCTCAAAGCACTGGGAGGTTATCAGTAAAACCTAAAGTAGTCCCGATAGCTCAGACACTCCCCAACACGCAAGCGGACATAGGCACTTGCAGTTAGTCCTGCATGGGAGATGGCCTCCAGCTTCATTTAAAGGCTGTGGTTTTGAGAGACCGAACTTCTGCGATAAGTTCTGCAATCCACAGATCATAGAAGGTGGAAAGAAAAGCAAAATAAGCCAAACCCCAAGAGTTAATAGCCAAAATGCAACATACAGCCTCCCTCCATCAAGCTTCCAGACCTCCAATACACCTTGCCAGCCTGAACACAGCAATAAGCCTTTGACCATGGACATGAAGAAGGCACAAAACCCAAGCGGGATGGATTTCATCTCTAACCTTCCCTTGTTCAACTTGCAGTAAGTCCTCACACTCAAACTGGTACCAGTGAACGTCTGACGTGCCCTGCTGGTAGCAGTGACTTGGCACTTGGACTGTTAGAGCTGAAGACGGGAGCTGTGACCACTTCTCTGAGTGGCCTGTAGTCCGAGGTGACGAGAGGCACAGGAGCTGTCACCTGAAGATCAGATTTCACAAGCCTAAGGCAAGCGGCAAGTGTGGAGGAGTTTCCTGCTCTTTGCTTTGCTCACCAGCCAGTTTCTAAATTTCGCAATCACACTTTCTTAGTAGTTGGTCCCAAAGGTTGCTTTTTCCTGCCTTCACCAAGATGAACTTGACCGAAAGGCAACACCCAGAAAAGAGGCAGTGAAACCGGGTGCACCCGCCGTGCTGCTGGGGCTGGCAGCGGGAGGTCCTTCTCTCTTCCAGCCTGTCTGCACCGCAGCCAGACTAAATGGAAAAAAAAAAAAAAAAAAAAAAAG